TATATATATAAAGGCACATCTCGAAAGGATGAAGTGTTTCCTCTGGTATGGTAGTCACTCAGACGAAACAGCCGATAAGCGACGAAACGAAAGACGGGCATGATGGACGAGTTAAAAGTGGATAGATCTATTTTGTGGCACACAGATAGCTTTAAATGCGCAAATAAAACGGCCCGTCACCAAAGAGTCAAAGTGAACATCAGTGCCCACAGCTTGAACATTTCAATTCTACATATAAGCCCATATGCCAGCCGTACAATGTCCATATAAGGTTCCTTTTTAGAAATGTTTATCCTCATATTCCTAATCGCAGCAGCACAAGCCCAACAAATGCGATTTTTTACCTTTTCAATACTAGAGTCTTAGAATACACTTTTTTTTTTTTATCTAGTGCATATAGAGTATGATGAGAAAGTTTCATACACAATTAAGTTTCCTCAGACTCTTATTGCTAAGCAACATTTGGACATTGGCACTAAGAACTGTTTTGCAAGACAGTGTGTCATCATTCATTCTCTAGTCAAGGAGAAAGTTGAAGGAGTCGCTTAATGATGTAAAAATTAAACTTGATTGATATAAAACTAAATCACAGCAAGCATGTGAATCCAAATATGAAAGCAGCTGGAACCTGCTCAGAGTATGCCGTCGCCCATTCTCAAGGACAGAGGAGCTAATATTCAAAAAGACGCTTCTTATTTGTAGGGTTTAAGGCGACTTGCGGTAAGGACACGGGCTGAGAAGCAATTACAGGGGCTCCGAAAAAGCCCAGATGATCCTATAAGCAGAAAAATGGCACTTTATATGGGCTATTGTCTAATGAAAGCACGGTCCATAACTGAGCACAAAGTTGTTTCCACTAGCGAGCAGTTGATAAGGCCAAACAGTTTTAACTTTCAGATTACTTGCTATAATACGGTCTCGATGTGTGCGTAAAGAAAACATTGTCGACCCTTCCCATTACGGTTGCTTTGACTAGCAAGGTCGAAATAATATACACTAAACGTTTCTACATGCTGCAAAGTATTTACTATGCAGGTTGACAAAATGCTAACTTTTTTTGGTCGGTTTCAAAAACGGACGAACATCTCCCTGTTTTTCCTTGTTAAAAAAATGAGTTGCGTTTTATGTCTGATAAGGCCGTTACTTATTCGTATAGCGGCTGGCACGAAACTCTCGAATCTAAAGGCTCCAAGCCAGCATGTGTTCCTCAATTTACAAACATGCTGCACGCCACACTCATCACGTGAAGCTGGCGACATCTTTCGTGCTGAACCATAATAAGCAACCGATGGGTTTTTTTTATCACAGTTAAATCGTACTCAGCCTTACTATTCTAAAGGTTATGTCAGGCGTACTCTAGAAGGCTTTTGATCAGATCGTACAAGCTTGCCCGTTGTTGTCAACCGCTGTAATCGTTCCTGGGATCTTGTTGTCAATGTATGTAGCGCTCAATATGGACCAATAGGAAAACAATATGAACATTTGCCTATATATTATATGCAAATAGCCTTATTCAGAGGCTTTACATGGAAAGCTGCTTCGCAAGACCTGATGTTAGCAGTTTACATCTCATAGCACATGGGCTGGCTTAAATCTTTTAATAGAAATTTCTTAATGAAGCATTTAATAAAAATATCCTTGTTAATATTTTTTCTGTTACATGTTGAAGCAGAGTGTGATGATGCGAGATTTGTGCAGGCAAATGTTAATGATAGGACCGTTGACATTAGTACAATTATAGTCACAGGTTTGTTTTGAATAGTGTTAGATAAAAAGCCGCAAAAAAGTGCAGAACACGTTTTACCAGCTGTTTGCCATTAATTTAGAAGAAAACTAGGCCATATGTCGACAAGAGGCCCGCGATATATAATCCGTGCCGGTGATATCAATGTTATGAAGGATAAAAAGGCCGTCAATAAGGAACTAACAGGTTGGCTGTAATAAATTTTTTAAACGCATCTAGCGATAGGTACAAACATGAATAACTCTAAATTAAGCTCGAATACAATGCTCTATTGTTGTGAAGTGTTTCTCATTTTCCCCAGATACTTTTCTTTTAAAATTAGCTTTTGTTGAAATAGTGCCAGCAATTTCCTAAAAACGCTAGTAAAATGGACAGAAGACGAATAGTATCTCTGTAATATTACTGTGGTTCCTCCCTGAAGCCCATGGCCACTTATACTACTTTGCTAATATGTCTATTCTATTTAATCACATCTACTCTATTGGCTAGCTCGCACGTACTTCGCTTTTTGGATCTTTACGGCGTCACTTTGACCAGTTCACTTTTAGCAGTGGTACTGAATGGGAACAGTATATTGACTGTGGTACGACCTTTTTGTCCCGCGAGATTTTCGCCTCTACTCCAGCAAAAAAATGTAGACCCATGAATTTTCTCTAGTTCCGAACTTCGCTCTTCCAGACCCGCAGGATACCTTTAACCAGATTCAGTAATAGCGACAGTTTTATTTGAGTGTCATTTGGGCTAGAAGGTAAAAGAATAGTCGAAATTTGACGTTTGGTTCGGTTTTATTGAGAGATTTTACAATCAAATCTAAAACCTTTACGGTACAGTAGATAAATATATTCGATAGTAGATTACAAATGATTTCCCCTTACTCTGATCTTAGCTGTTTGAACCTATTATTTCATATTGTCTAATATCTTATGGTGATTTCCGCTATTATTAACTATGTTGTGTACGGATTTAAACAGATCCAATCTCTGCATAGGCTGAATCAGGCCTTATGTAGGTACCACTATGTTACATATCCGCATATATATTCCAACGGGGGTAGAACTCGGCTTATACTTATTAGGTTGCGTTCGCCGCTTTGGTACAGACACCTTTAGCAGTATTTGAAGTGCTTCAAGACATGAAAGAACGTATACATTAACGTGAATAGACATTGAAAATACTTTGTCGTCTTGAAGAAAAAATTGCAGCGCTATTATTCATGCATATAAGGATTGTGAACCTATACATAATCCCCTATAATTCTACTCTGTGCGAGACTTTTTCTAGCATACATGTTTAATGTGTAGTCGAGGGTATTTTCACAGAAATTTTTGATGATTAACATTTAACTATATTGTATATATATATAAACCTGTTGAAAAAGATACGCGTCCCGTGATGCTAGTCGAAGCAAGGATGGGGGGCGTCAGTAGTTTCAAAAATATTTTACTTGTATCGCAGCACAGATGTTCCAAGCGTTCGATTTAGAGGATAGACCAATGGACCGTATTGTAAAGCAGCGTAATGTCAATACAGGTTCACTAATTCTTGGTTGTTCCGAAGAATAGTGTTGACATATATATGAAATTTTAAAATTCACCCCCCAGTTGGGTAAATTTTGCAAGGAAAAACGGCTCAGTAATTAGCCCTGTACACACATCCTGTACGTATATTGTAATGTGTGTCCTGTAATATTATGTTCATCCTGTATGTTCGTTTTGTTATATTTCAATGTTCTCCGCATTCTCCTATAACTAAAAATTTCATCGAAATAAAGGCTTCCTTCGAATACGTATCATCATACCCCTCATTCTTCCGTTACGTAAATACTACAATATTTTCAGTGTACACTGTTGAAGATCGTCTTTACTAATCATTATAGTACCTGGAAAGACAAGTTACGTGATATATGATTATAGGTCGTGCAACAATACTACAGTAAACTGTTAGCAATATATGCTTAGGTTCTTACTTATATCTTACATAAGGGGCAATTTTTATCTGCATTAAGATTTCTTCGTTTAGTTAGCATGCGCTCTAAATTAATTGAACCCCGACAACGGATATTTATAGACGCTTTTTTTTCTTTGCAGATCTACCTAACTTGTTCAAAGGAGGCTTCAAGCCCTGCGATAGATTCGGGGGTTATCCTATCGAAGTACGACGCTGTCTTCAAGTTGTCATGGCACACTTCAACTTTGATGAACAGATAGATAGTAGCCTATCACATAGATCGACAGATATAAATAACCAACGAGATAATAGGTTGGCCGTATATTAGGTTAGCGACGCTTTGTTTGTCATAGCAATGTTCCAGTTGCTCAGTAGAGTATTCAGAAAAAATCTACCTCCAGGTACACCTTCGTGTCATAATTATGCCTGTAACAAGTCATAATTGAAGTATCGTTTGGGTACTTACAGCGAGTATTATGACCGTGATAGTGAGAAAAATATCAGTCAACGTAACGTCGCAAACGAACTTTTGCTTACCAAGAAAAACCTCAGAAAGCGCCTTAAATAACTGCTTTAGTTTCTTACCTATCATTTGGTCAAATTAATCTTTTTCTGTAGAAGTACGCCGAAAAGAAGCATCCGACGAGGTAGCTTCAGAACGCGCCTAAATTAACGTCAATGCATATAACAGTCTTAACAGACAGAAGACACAGCTATTACTCTCTGTTGTAAGTAGCTCGCTGAGGTACACTTCTCAAGTGTACCTCAGCGTTGTATCCTTAATAATAATAACAATAGTACGAGACCTTCTAAGAAGTACCACGGCCCTCACCGTCTCCATATTACGCCTCCTACGGGAGGCCTACACACGTGCATGTTGTGAGCACTCCGATCACTAACCTTATGAAGATTTCTTCAACAGTCATAACTAAGCAACGTTAAGATAATTGTTTTGTTTTTTTTTGAGATTAGGAGCTCCACGACGAGGGCAAATAACGCTTGAAAGAGCTGCAGCAACAGTAAGACAACCGATACCTGTCGCTGGTCATAGCTTGATGCAGTTAGGGTTGCTAATAATTATGCAGTGCATACTGCCATTCGTTTACGGGTTTTCGTCATAAAATCACAAACAATTTTGTCCAGCATTAACTTGCTTAGTACTAATAAAGTAATTTGCTGGCAAAAAAAATGATGGGTAGAACAAGGATCGTGAATTATTTTGGCTTGCCGAACCCAGCATAAACGGGGCGCGGAGCGTTGCTGGGATGAGTTAACGGTCAGTTACTCGCAACTCAGCGATTCGCTTAGATATTCTCAACGAAAGTCGGCGAAATTGGTCCCGACTTAATTTAGAAAATCAAAATGTTACTTTCAATGAAAATTGTTAATTTAAATGTAAATGCGAAAATATCGAATGCACGCGGCAGCTCTGATTCTTCGCTCGCTCCAAAAAGAATCACATGATTCTCAAATCAAGCTGGCCATGTCTGATCGGCCTACCCCACGTCTCACTAACCCGATGCGGTTTCAGTAGGAAGCACTTGTATAAGCATCTCCTCACATGTTCCTACCATAAATGGTGCCTTCTCAAATTCGATCCAACGTGCAATGTAATATAAATGAAAGTCGCGAATGAACAGCAAAAAAGTTACAAAACAGTTCATCCTATAGGGGAACTTTTATATGTGGAAAAGATAAATTTCCGAGTACAAACTTGCCACAGTCAATGGTGATAATTATAGTGCCGTTAAAGCTGTCATTTAGCTTCATTGCATGTCATTTAGAAGAATCTTAACTGTACCTGATTCCGGATTGTCTTCTTTCGGTGGAACAAATGGGACAGATTTTCGCACGCACGAGCCGAGATAAGCTGCAAAATAGCTGGTCGATTGATCGCCACTTTGAAAACAAGCAACAAAATTTCTCCTATAGGATGAAATAACTCAATTAGAAAAAAAATATCGACCGCCATCAAAACGATACAGAATCTACAGTATTCTATCCTTTGGGCATCTAGCTCGAAGTATTCTACCGCACGTATAAGCCATAGCGAGAGCCCAACGCCACCTATTAACATCACAGCGCTTGAAGCCATGTATGACACAACTGCATTGAACAATATGGAACTAATGTATTGGAAGCTGTTCTAGTTTAACTCTAATTTGGACGGATGATAACTTGAATAAAAGAATTCAATCATACATATTGAATTTGTAAATATACAGTCATATATAAATTAGCATCAAAGTCGTCGCATTGAAGGTCAACGAGTATGTCTACGAACCGAAGTTATTTTCTCAGTCGGGGAAAATATACATTTTTTCAATTTGATTTAACATCTCTAAACGCTATTTTCAATGAACTTGAAGAATCGTTAGTTTCATGAAGCGCATCAAAATTCAGTCAGTTTGATAATTGAACACTATATTAATCAATAACAAAAAGCAGACGAAAAATAGCTATTGTCACCAATCATGAACGCATCGTTTCCCCACAACAAGGACAACTCTAGCCGTGATGACTGTCGTTCCGACTATTATCGGCCGGCATAGTCGTCTGCTAAGTTTGTCTGCATGACTTTCAACTACATATCTTAATACTTTAGCGAGGAAAAGAAACGAGACAATGTAACTAAAGATCTATGATTTAGTTACATTATCGATTTTTTACCTCTAACGACGATAGATCTATTAGTACCAGTAACATTCTCATTACTATTTGAGATCGATTCACCTGCGCTAGAATAACATGTGAGACTATTGAATTCATTATAATTTGCTATGTTTATATATCTCCAAGCGTGCTTAGGGACACATACATATTCGTTAGGTTTTTGTACATATCGGTATTATCGAAATATTTTCATTAGAACGTTAGTCAATTGAAGTACGCATGCATTTTACGTGTACAGCTTAGTCTATGCTAATATTTTAGCATATACTATCAGGACCACCAATACGGAACCTTCGAGGGATCGGGCGACTGCTGTCCATTTTTGTGCATGTCAGTGTGCTTCATATTGAGGTAAAAAGCTGATCAGCTCGACGGTCCACAATACCATACGACAAGATGGCGACAAATCGGTGAGACATAGAGATCCCGATCGTGACGTTGCCCTTCGTACCGTTGTATTCTGTAACGTGTGCAACGAAAAGGCAGCGCTAATAATAAACACAGGCCACTTGTGCGAATTATGCGACACGTAAGAACTGAGACGGATTATTTACGCATTGAGGACTAAAACGTTCAGTTTTTTTTTTCTCTAAGGACACAAAAAGCGTGTCCTGACAGCATTCAGGGGGTAAACCGAAAGCGCGCCTTTATTTTGTACGTACCCGTATTTTCAAATTGCCCAACTGTACTCTGTATAGGTGGCCATTGAGGTCACTGGTAAATGACCGTAAAGGATGGAAGTGTGTTTAACTTCATCATTGCGTTTCAAAGGCAAAGAGACTTACGCCTGCAACTGGCCACCAGCAAATCCTACGTGAAGTTGGTGGGCATTTGCATACGACATCTCGTGTATCTTGAGAGGCTCTGTCCTTTGGCCTGAGGTATTTTGTCGCTGCAAATAAAAGACACGTGGGAACAAAGGAAGTCTAAAATGTGGTGTCAAGCTTGAGTGCTTCTTTATTATCAGAGTTATGGTAGGACAACTCTGAAATAGATATGGCTCATTGCCCTCACCCTAGTACATATGGAAAAACGCCTATTTTTGGTGGGGTGGCTAGATATAGGTAACAACTACAGGTATTACCACTTGATACTACTATTATTACTCTCGTTTTTAGATCACAATCAGTCTATCATTCAATTCGTAGTAACACTACATGGCAAGCGCCTTTTCTATTATTGATTAACTTGAACCGGAGAGAAGGGCAATCTGTGATTCATTAGGCACCTCCCTATCTGATCCATCGAATTTACAGATTTCTTTGCGCCTGGTTCTGCGACGGTACTTACTTTAGGCTCACTTACATAAACGAGACCTAATCATGTTAGGAAAATTCAGTCACCAGTCATTCTACAATGTTATAGGCTTACAATCAGCCTACGTATGTTTGCCAAGTCGCAAAAAAAGTAGTTCTCAACTTAACTTACATTTGCTCTCTCTCTCTAGAACACTGACCGTAGCCTAACATAGCTCTTTACGGTAAGTGATGAGCTGTTTGCTCGTTTCAACATCACGGCTGGTGCAATATTCATAGCACCATCTTCAAACGAACAAAGCTCTGGAATGGATTTGTCCTTAAATTAAGTACTATTGCTTAATTAAATTTTCCGATTGCGAAAAAAAATGAGCTGTACCTGTTTCAGTACTGATCCGACGTTAATAGTAACATGTTTTATTGAAGAAGTTTGACAGCTTTTGATATTGCCGTACTGTCAACGTTTAGTTTAGACAGAAAACATGAGGTAGGATACCATACAAACCTAGTTTCTTATAGGCAAACACATTGATTCTGCTCTAAAAAATGTATATAGTCCTTGTAATTATCATACGATAGAAACACTATTGTAACTTCCATTGTAGTCGATTCCACTGAAAAATTAAAAATAGAAAAATTGTTGGTCCGTCAATAAAAGGACAAACCCGATTTTTTATTGACAGATTATTTGGTGGTTTAAGCTCATAAAATAGAACTGGGATTCCTTCAATTTGTAAAGTATATTAAGAAAACATATCATATTATTAGCAGTGTATTGAGAAGGAGCAATTATGGTTGCTCTACGAAAACCGGTCCAATTTTATAACGATGTATCTCAAAAGGTTTGAAAGGCTACCTTTTTTTTTTTAAATAAGAACTAAGTTAAGTTTTAGATTGTCACAGTTCTACTTATTATCTGAGGCTAGTTATCGTCAATAACGTCCCTAATTGGATTATATACTTTGTCAATTATAAACCGTTTTCGCTGGAAGGAATATAAGTCGAAACTTATATGACCTCTATGCATAATCATTGCCACAGAGGAAAAAACGTCATATTGGTGCGTATCCTAAAAATAACCCTCGTTCTCCAAACTTATACGTTTTTAAGGAAGACATTTATATCGTTGCCCATACACCTTCACAAGATCGGGTCATATGAGCTCTAATAAGTCGACGCGAAAAAGTCAGCCAATCATCAAGCCCAGAAATCCAAATTATTTCGTTCCGAAAGAGAGAGAGAGAGAGTTGTAATGAGAATTTCGATAGTCAGTCATGATATAAAATATTGATTATATAGTAATGAGGTCCTTTCGTCTGAACTGTACGGCGTATCATTACAGTTATCTAGATGTCCCTCAAAGGCACCAAAGTTTGCCATATATGCATATGCCGAGTTGCATCTTGAAGCAAATTTGCCCTTTCGATTTCTCTACAACGCCGCTCAGTTTCACACATAACCTAAACAAGTAGTTCCTGAAACTGCCACGGAGGTCATGTGACATTGCTTAATCGAAGGACTTCGATGAAGGCGTAATTTAACAGGAATTTAGTTTGAAAAATGTAGTTCTTGGGTACGTGAAACTGTATTAGAAGAGCTAGCTGGCTATCTTATATCTTTATAGTTCAAAGACATCAGATAGATTCCGAAAAATGTATAGCTATCGCCGGGAACCATATATTTCAAAACGCAGTAAATATTTTATCCTCATGTGTATCTTGAAGATGCCGCAGGCTTAACGGTACAAACGTTTAAGATCAACTGTCCATTGTTGCAACAAAAACAAGTACTTCCAAAGTTCTCATCTCATATGGCCGTACTATTTTCTAGATTAGATAGATTTTGTCTTATCGAATAGCTGTACGCTCTCATCAGCTCCCTGGCCTGTCGAGAAAAGCTACTTTTTTAAGACCGACAAGTAAAGCGTAATATCGTAGATCATCCATATAAACCAGTTTTGTTTCTCGCTGAAACAACAACGTATTATAGAATATGTAATGACTACTCCCATTTAACCAGAATCAATTAGCAGATCGGTAAGATGTGCCTATTTATTCAAACTTTTATTTTTCCAGCACAAATTTTATGCATAACAAGTCAGTTAACTGCAAATACGGGGCTGGTATAGCAGAAAGTTAAATTGAAGTTGAGTTAAGTAAAGTTGCGTGCAAGCCTTAGCGAGAATTGTGTTAAGATATCAAAAGGTAATAGTCACTTTTCGATGGGTTTCCTAACGCATGCAGCTTTTAAGCCAATTTCCTAGAGGCCAACGTCACACTCTATAAATTTCGTTGTTCGTTGGACGTATACGGATCATGTGATTTGACTAACGAAAACAAACCATGTTCGCGCCAGATTGTATTGTTATCCGTGCATTTGAGTGACTGTCTACAAGACCGTTATGACGCCAGCGCTCTATGATCTGCGACAGGGTCGTCGATTCATCCCTATAACTAAAATCATCGCTTGATGTTTGCAACCAAAAAAATGTACCGTACCTGTCCTTATGGACCAGAGCGGCTTCGCAGTTATATGATGTCCATTTATAGCAAGTAACTGATGGATATATCAACGTTTAGTCTAGGAGGAAAAGGAACCGTAGCTGAGTTTTTGGTTAACTCAGTCACAAGAATACACTAGGTCTGAAGCGTGGCTATCACTCCTACAAAAAGTTGCCAAAAAAGTTTCGCCGTATCTTGTCACTTAGTTACACCACACGATGTTACTAAGGACAATATGCAACGACGACCTACGAAAAGCGCAATCCATCGCTCTTCTATGAATATTGCCACTGATTTTTAAACCTCTATCCTCTAAACCTCTATGAGCAGTTTCGTCATATCATAGTGAATGATACCAACCTGGGATTTCTATTCGGTTTCCTGCCATGATCTAATAACTTTTAACTAGTAGCGTGCACTCAACGTGTTTTCGAGATAATTTTGCTAAATTCGGAAAGCCTTAGCATCAATACGTTTTCGTACTACTTGTTGCTCCATGTATGCCACTTCGTAAACTTGGATCGTAACTATATTTCTTCTGCTAGAAGTTAACTTTAAATCGGTTACAGGTATTACATCTTGCCGCAAAAACTTCCCCTGAACTGCGCAGTTAATACCAGCTATTTTACTTGAGCAGCGTATTTTAGAGTCTTTTGAGTCTGTTTTTAAATGACGGATATATTTCTGGCTTGAGCGGTCGTCTCCGTACGTGCACGTCATAGCAAATTAATGCTT